CTTCAATTTGGACGCTGCACTGACTTCGTTGTCCAAAGCCTTTGTTTTGGCACTTGCAGGCTTAGCTTTTGGCTGGGCTTTTTTGGGCTTCTTAGGAGTGGTCTGGTCTGATTCACCCGCAGCCAATTCAGGCTTTATCTTACCACCAACTGCAGCTATCTTTGCGGTCGACTTTTTCTTTGCGGGCTGCAAGGGTTAATGATACGATGCGATTAATAGGATGGGGATATGCATTGGCGTGAGATATTAAAGTAAACCTCATTTGTGTGGCGCTCCGATGGCTTCTTTCTACGCTGCTTTGGTTTTGCCGTCTCTGCACCTGTCGAATCTGGCGTCTTTTCGCTGTCCTTCTTAGTCGCTGGCTTTGTTCTGGTCTTGACTTTTTGCTCCTTAGCCTTTGCTTTGTCCAACTTCTTCTGCTGATTGGCCTTCATCTTTTCCATGGCCTTGGATTCCGCCTTTGCCGTCGCTGACATTTTAAAGGAGCGCTTCACTTGCACAACGTCACCCGTGCCCATCGCCACTTTGAGTGCCCGTGCCACAAGCTTTTTCATGCGGGCCATATCGGTCACCTCGTAGCCGGAGGACTTGATGAAGTTAACAATCGCAGGCACCGATGACCCAGAGCGACTGTTTAAAGCCTTAATGGCTTTCAAGCAATGCGAGAGAATACTCCCTTTGTTGGCCACTTTCACCTCTGGTGTAGACTTGACTTCCTCTGGCTCCGCCATTTTGGATCGAGTCAATTTGAAGTTCTACCACAAATACATAGTACGACACGAGGCACGTCTCAACTTGAACTGCTCAGTCTCAAAAGCGAACTAAAAGCCAACGAGCAGCATTACAACGGTAATCGCCGATTTCGCATATCATTCGGTTCGTAAAGAGAAGTTTAGGGTTGCCACTGGATATTTAAATTGAGAGTTGATTTAAATACACGCTCACGAAAGGAAGAGTATATGGGCTTTTCAAAATAATCTGAAATTTCTAGCATATACTTGTAATATATATTGTATTAATATATTTTTGTGTATAATAAATTTATAATCCATTTGAATGAATATTTAACATGACTTGCAGCGTAATTTATTAATTTATCATTCGTATAATGTATACATACATAGTTAAATGTTCTAGTATTATTTAAATATATATGTATGCGTTGAACATTTATTGGATTTGCATTCGTCTATTATTCATTTGATAGTTGCGGATCTTCTCCCTATTCCCACAGACAACAAACAACATTGCAATGCATAGTTTCAACTTTAAATAACATTCTATTTACTTTAGGACAATAAACGAACAAATAATCAATATAATTTTAATATGTAATTTGTTTTCTTTAGATTTTTGTTTAAAAACATTTTGTTACATTTAAAGCAGCAGATTTCTTTTTTTGCACTTTTCATATTTCATTGTTTAGTTTGTCGAGTTTAGTTGCTGTACAAATGGTTCACATTGTTTCGGTGCAGGGAACAGTGAGGGGACGGGGACGGGGAGTGCTAAAGAGAACTTTTTTTTTAATACTTGTGCGAAGTGTTGTAACATCTTAAAGTTGATCGAATACAAAATAAACAGAAGACCGAAAGCGACGCAAGCGAAAGAAACACAAATATGCGTTATTTAATTTGGTTTTGGAATGCTACGATTCTGTATGCGAAACGAAATTAATTGAACAATTCAATGATCGAGAAATAATAAACATTTACAGAGCACACACACTTAAAACCTAACAAAAATGGGTAAACTTTAACAAATTATCGACGGGTCGGCAACAAAGTTTTAAGGAGAATGTTCATTATTTTGTTTTGTTTTTCTTTCTTCTTCATTTAAGGTGTGGATTGGGGTTAATTCATTTGAGTTTATGTACACGTTATGATATTTTGACAAATTTTGATTACTAAAACACACATTTAAAATAGTTTCCGCTTATATAGTGATTAGAAAATATTTAACTAGTTATTGTTTAGACTGCGCTTCGGCTCTCTCTATGTATACACAAATCAGATTTTATACGTAGATATTATCATATTAATATCCTTTTCGTGGATTATATTGTAGTTAATGTGTATATATGTGTGTATATCGTATACGTATAGACGCATACACAGCGGATTATTGCAGAAGGAGGCACGCCGCACGTTGCGCCACCAGCTTAAATTATGAATGAAACAAAATTTTGGACATAAATCAAAAACAAAACAATTTTAAACAAAATCTAATGGCGCGAGTCCCTAGGATAGAATTCAGCCAAAATAGAGGCCGGAATACGTTTAAGCATTTCCTTGGGGAAGATACGCAACAGCTGCCAGCCAATATCCAAGGATTCGAAGACAGTGCGGTTCTCGTAGTTACCCTGGGGGAATTCAAAAAGCAAAAGTCAGCATATTTGTTATTTCATGATATCAATCACTGATTACTCACCTGCGAAATGAAGTTCTTCTCGAACTTAGTCAAGAACTCCAAATACAGTAAATCATCGGGCGTCAGAGCCTCTTCACCGACCACAGCCTTCATGGCCTGCACATCCTTGCCGATGGCATAACAAGCATACAACTGATTGGAAACATCGGAGTGATCTTTGCGGGTCATGCCCTCACCAATGGCAGACTTCATCAAACGTGACAAAGATGGCAGCACATTCACTGGAGGATAGATCTGTCTGTTATGGAGCTGGCGGTCAACGTAGATCTGACCCTCGGTAATGTAACCAGTTAAATCGGGAATTGGATGGGTAATATCATCGTTAGGCATAGTCAAAATGGGAATCTGTGTAATTGAGCCGTTGCGACCTTCAACACGACCAGCGCGCTCATAGATGGTGGCCAAATCCGTGTACATGTAACCGGGGAAACCACGACGGCCGGGCACCTCCTCACGGGCAGCAGACACCTCACGCAAAGCCTCAGCATACGAAGACATATCGGTCAAGATAACCAGCACGTGCTTCTCGCACTGGTAGGCCAAGAACTCAGCGGCGGTCAGAGCCAGACGGGGTGTAATAATACGCTCAATGGTTGGATCGTTAGCCAAGTTCAAGAACAAGCACACGTTCTCCATGGAACCGTTCTCCTCGAAATCTTGCTTGAAGAAACGGGCAGTTTCCATGTTCACACCCATAGCGGCGAACACAATGGCAAAGTTATCAGTGTGATCATCAAGTACCGACTTGCCAGGCAGCTTGACCAAACCGGCCTGCCGACAGATCTGCGCAGCGATTTCATTGTGCGGCAGACCAGCAGCAGAGAAGATGGGAATCTTCTGACCACGAGCAATCGAGTTCATCACATCAATAGCAGAGATACCAGTCTGGATCATTTCTTCGGGATAGATACGCGACCATGGATTGATAGGCTGACCTTGAATATCCAAAAAGTCTTCGGCCAAAATTGGGGGACCCTTGTCGATGGGCTTGCCAGAGCCGTTAAACACACGACCCAACATATCCTCAGAGACGGGCGTTCGCAGAATATCACCGGTGAACTCGCAAAGCGTGTTTTTCGCATCAATACCAGAGGTGCCCTCGAAGACCTGGACAACGGCCTTGGAGCCGCTCACCTCCAGCACCTGGCCAGAACGTACAGTACCATCTGCCAAGCGCAACTGCACAATCTCAGCGAATTTAGGGAATTTCACCTCATCGAGAATGACCAAGGGACCATTCACACCAGACACCGTCTTGTAAGCTGTTCATTCAAAGACAAACAAAAATACCAACAAATAAATATTTAAAATTCATTTCTAATATATATTTTTTTTTTTTTCATATTAACTATTATTTTAGGTTAAAATAGCGCTCTTCACATGAATGCACAAGTGGTTGCCAATAAGAATCCGATAAGAAAGCAAACGTCAAAAATTCGTAGTGAGTGTTACGGGGTTAAATAGTCAGCTGACAGGCAAACTGGCTTTAAGCAGCTGCTATTTGAAGCACGAGCTGCATAATTGACATAAAATACGACAATGGAAGAATGCGTGAAATGCAATTCAAAATGTTCGTTACATAAAAGCAACTCCACTGAAAACAAGTTATCATTATACATGATAATTCTTGGCCATTTTTTAAGATTAGTTTATGTACTAATATGTACCAGAAATCTACTTTTACATTGGTTTTATCATTTTTCAGCAGTTTGTTTCTCTTTTTACTCTTCGCTTGCCCAACTTTTGCTAGTCAGGTGCTCTCTGGGAGCGCGCTTTGAATGGCAATAGCAAACAGCTGAGCTTGATGATCGAGTCATGTGACAATGAAAATTTTTATTAAAAATGAATTTTTAGTTCTTATTGGCATAGATTCAAGTCCTGTTATGTACAGACCATTGAGTATGATACATTTAGTGAATTCACTCGAATGGGTAGGAGTAATAACGTTGCCAAAAACACTATATTGATTTTCTGTTTCGTGCTCTGCTTTTGCAAACGATTCGTACAAACTGTCATGGCGGCCGATTATCCACGGGTTACGACAATAATACAATTTTTAAATACACAATTCACAAGCCGCACATAATTTGATAGCAATTGGATACTCACTCAAACGTGGCTGGGAGATGAAGTCCCGGGAAACAGCAAGGACATGCTCCCGTTGTGCTTGTTGGGCGTTCATTTTGCGAAATGAATTTTTTGTTATACGCGATTGCTTCTACCTTGAAAAGTGCACAGCAAATTTCGAGCTGCAAACAAAACAAAACAATCGGTTTCAATTAGATTTCATGAATCAAATTTTCTGATTTAATTTCAATTAAAGTTGGCGTTTCAACATACAATTTTTCCGTTTTAAATAATACTGCGACACACACGCAAAATTTTGGCCTGCGACGTCGTTGCAAGTACGAAGAAAAATCACTCTGACACGGGTCAGGCTGTGTAAAACTTATTGTGACGTCACGTGCCGTCACATGACTTTACGTGTGACCACAATTTTTCAGTATTTTTCAGTATTTTGTTCATCTGTCCGATACAGCCCTGAGTTTTATATAGCAACCCTGCACTGTATTTTTTAGGCACATTTTGGCATTATTGGATTAAGTGTAGAAAGTGTTTTTTATGTACAATTAATTAAATTAAACTAGTTAACACTTGTAAATCATCTAAATGTGGCATCGATTGAACTTTGCGTGCGAATCAAACTGAAAGCGAGCGTAGTAATTAAAATTTCACCACAATTACCTAAGCTAAGCCGATAGTAAAAATTAAAAGAGCAACAACTGCAGCAGCAGCAGCAGCAAACAAAGAGATAGCGCCAGCAGAGACGAAAGACCACGACAAATACACAACAGAGCGACAAATACAAAAACTCGTTTCTTGTGTGCGTGTGCGTTTCTCTTCTTTTTATTTGCATTGCAGGCAAAGCGGTCGCTGCGACATTTCGTGGCAAAGACTGACCACAAGAGGGGCGTGCTTGCATCTAGAAGTCCGTAAGCAGAAACAGCAGCAGATTGCAACATTATGATGGTTGAGTCCGACGGTACCGCTGACGCCACCCGTCGTCTCAATGTTAAGAAACAAACGCTAGACGATGCCTACGCCGTGCCCGCAAATTTCCTCGAAATCGACGTTGTCAATCCGTTAACCACCATGGCGGCGGGCAAGAAGCGCTACACAGACTATGAAGTGCGCATGAGGGTGAGTAATACAGTCCTATGTCGGGGCTCCAGCGGGTCATCTACATTTGTATGCAAAATATCAGCGAGCAGAGCTTGCACAAAAGTGCCAAAACTGGTGATAAAGTAATCGTGGTTGTGTAAGTGTGTGCGTAACTGCTCTGGGGGCATTTGTATAAATGTGTGCTGTGTCTGATACGCCTATAAGCTGAGCAATACTTATTACTCACAACAAAAGTGAACTAGTATAGATAGTGCCTGACTGTTGGATACCCTGTCTGCATTTCTCAATTTGCTTTTTACTAAGTTACATTTATATATCGATATTCAATGCTTATAAATCATGTATGTAATACGATCGGATTCAATTATTTCTGAATGTTTATCATTTTTGGATCTCTTAATATCTTAAGACTCCTGACAACCGCCGACAATTATACCCAATATAAGTAAAACACATGAATGTAGTAACAATTCATTTGTATTAGCAATAGGGTATAACAGCAGGCGTTTTGTGTAGCATTGTCCACAGACGTTCGCTTTGTGTCCGATTTTTGGGTGGCATTAAAATATACTTGAGTCATACTCTGATATACGGAAGTATGATATGCGGGCTGGAATAAGAGATACAAATATTTTGAGGGCAATTGTATAAAATCAACTTTATATTGAACAATATTTTTACTCTTATGACAGACCAATTTGCCGGTATTCAAAGTAAAGGAATCGAGTGTGCGACGCCGCTACAGCGATTTTGAATGGCTAAGAAATGAACTGGAGCGCGATAGCAAGGTAAGCATGCTGTACGGATGCCTTTGAGCCACATTCTCATTTAGTTTTGGTTGATGAAACGCAGATTGTGGTGCCGCCATTGCCTGGCAAGGCATGGAAGCGACAGATGCCTTTCCGTGGCGACGAGGGTCTCTTTGACGAGAATTTCATCGAAGAGCGAAGAAAGGGATTGGAGGCGTTCATCAATAAGATAGCCGGACATCCGCTGGCGCAGAACGAGCGCTGCCTGCATATGTTCCTGCAGGAGAATGTCATCGATAAAAACTATGTGCCCGGCAAGATACGCAACACATAAGGTCGCTGATTCCCGCTCAGGATATCAATAACAGCAGTAGCAATGCAATGAAGCAAAAGCTCGAAACGAACAAAACTTAAGAATTGAAAATTACGAAAAACCAATTAGGCAAAATCAATCCGTGTGTTGTATGTGTGCGTGTGTGTTTAGCCAGTTACGAGTAATAACGAAATAATAGATGTTAAAAAGAAATTGAAACACCAACTGCTTCTTCAGCTGGGGCGAGCGGATGTGGCTCAGTTAATGTTAAGCATGCTCCAGCTGAAGTATTGGGAATTTTTATTGCTAAATTAATATGTTTATATGCAATGGTATACATACAATACAAATTATATACTATACAATATATATAATATATATAAAATATACATACATATTTACCTTCTAGTGTACATAATACATACATACATCCATCAAACCAGTACGGACTGGCCGTCGCACCGTCTCATCGCAACGAGTCCCATTGCAGGACAAGTCTGTAGGGCTTGAGAACGTCTCGAATCCGAGTGTGAGCACATCCCTGCTCCTCCTCCACCTCATCCCACTCCAAAAACTTTAGTTGTTGTATAAAATTTGAATGATTGAGTTAATAATTGCGATAGTAAAGCAAAAAGTTACCCTCCACATCCATGGATTAGTACTATATATATGTATAATTATACAGTTGCAACTGTTGTGCAAATTACTGAATATTTTTGAATTATTTTAGTGAACAATATATGTATTGTATTTCGAATCAACTCAAAATAATTCCAATAATAATAATACATGTATTTTACTAAACTTTCCAATAGTGTTTTATTTATTATTTGAAAACCTAAGCCATAGCAATCGACGCAAAGCAATTCGACATGTATTTTTACAGAGTATATCATAACTTATAATACACTTTACCCCAAAACTAATGCGTAACAATTTTCGCTTATATATTTAAATTTAAAAAACGTGATGTTTCGCAAAGTGTTAGGGTAAGTAATTCTATTTCCGTTTATTTTAAGATAATCTCTGGCTTAACTATTTTGAGCCAAACCTATTTGTATGTGTTATTTCACGTATCTATAGTTTATCCCGCTAAGAAAGCCCTGTTGTACAATTACATTTTATTAAAACAATTATTTGTGTACTGTTTTTTTTTGTAATAATTTATCTTTTGATTTATAGCTGCATTTTTAATTTGAATTCTTAAATTAATTTAAGTTATTAAACCTTTCATATTAGTTTTTATATTTATTTTTAAAATTAGTCAAACACAAAATTCATAAAATTAATTAAGAAACCGATCATCAGGTCGGCACGCACACAATGCAACCGTGCGTGCCGGCTCAGTCATTGCGCGCAGGGCTGCAACGTTGTGATGTGCGAGCGGGATAGCTATAGTATTGTCATAAGCGTATGTGTGAATAGGGTTGTCATGTATGTGTGTGATTTTTTTGTTTTTTTATTTTTGGCATGGACTCTGCGGATTCTCCGACGAAAACGCAAGACAGCGATGACGAAAATTACAATCTACTCTGCCAGGCCCATGAACAGTTCAACAAGTAAGCGCCGCACACAATTCATAAATCCATACATTCACAGACATAACCTATTTCCCGCCCAACAGTCGGGAGTATGACCGATGCCTGGAGCTGTTACAGCAGCTGGAGACGAAAGGTGAGAGCAGCGGCCTTATACTGCGTCACAATCGGGCGGTGGTGAATTACTACAAAACTGGTTGCCTGCAACACCAGACGCTGCTCAATGAACTTGAAAAGCTGGATAATGACCAACCGGCGCCTGGCGAGCCGACTGTGCCGCTTGCACTAAAGAATGTCGGCAGCGCCCTTACCGTGGCACGCTACAACAAAGCGGTCATATACTTTCATCGGCATATGTACGGCACCGCACTGGATAGGCTGGCGCCACTGGTGACCAGGCTGGAGGCACTGGAGAAGCAAATGGCTGCGCTTGTTGCCACGTTGCAGTTGCAGCTGCTGTTGGCCACCAATCAGCTAAATCGTGCTGAAGCATTTCTCGACTATTTGCAGTATAAATTGAATCTAGTGGCTAGTGCACCCGGCGCAAGTCCCAGTAGCAGCCTGGAGGAACCGACAACCACAACAGCTACAGCCTCGACTGCCGCTGCCGCTGCATCAGGTGCTGCATCCACAACAGCGCCCACAGCTGTGGCGAGCGCAACGCCAATTCTGGATAGTAGTGTAACGAGAGCTGCTGGCGAAAACGGTAGCATTCTCCGGCTATTGCAGTTGCTAACGCATGTGCTTAATCGCAAGCCTGTGGTCATAACCGAGGATGGGACACCAGAGATTGCGGCGCTGAAGGCGCAGCAGTATTACATCATGAAAGACTTTCAGATGGCCGCTAAACAGCTGATGCGCATCAACGATGACTGCACCCAGGCCGGGTAAGTTAGATTAGTCATTGGTTTAAATTTGTTTACCTAATGGCATTATTCGTTCTTTTGTTAGAACTGTGACGCCGCAACTGAGCACGTGCATCGCCAACAATATGGGAGTTATCCATTTGCGTGTACGGCATTATGCAATCGCGGCAAAATTCTTTCAGAATGCACTGCGCTTCGATCAGCAGCTAACATCGAATTTACGGCAATGCTCTCTGCAAACAATGGGATTGGCACGATCGTGTGAGATCATGTATAACTTGGGCATCGCCATGTTGCATCTCCGTAGACCCAAAGAGGCGTTTCAGTGCTTCCTGGTGCCAGTCAAGCAGTACCATAGTAATCCACGTCTTTGGTATCGAATGGCCGAAGCTTGCATTATGGAGCATGAGGCGGTAAGTCATTATGCCTTAATCAATTCCATTTCTCTGCTCATATTATTACATATTTTAGCAAAAACTACCTGGAAAGGATCGCCATACGATAGATAGTGGCCTAAACTCAACAGGATCTAAACCATATGGGTGAGTATCAAAATGTTAGCCTTGTAAAAGCGAATTGTAATTTTGTATGCATTTCTCTTGCGCATCCCTGCAGAGCGCACTCCACTGCGGTGCCGGAGCCAACACTTGAATTTGCAGCTCTATGCCTGCGCAACGCTCTCACCCTATCTCTACAATACAAGGCCAGTTTCTATATGGCTGCCTCACCTGACGAAACACTGGATCCGAAAGACTCGTCACAGCAGCTATGGAGTCAAACACAGGACAATAACTTTTGCAACCCATCGAAGCCGATTAGCTTAGAATCGATGGAAAACATGTTGGATGCTATTTATGCGGCGCACAGCTTTGTGTCCCTGCGCCTGGGTGATCACGTCACCGCACTGGAAATGGCCAAGCATCTGCTGCAGAGCGAGCGTCTCTCCGACGCACACAAGTATGTCCATTTGCTACGAATGTGGGAGACAATTTTATAATAATATTTTTAAAATACAGATTGCTGGGCCACATGTATGCGGGCGAGGCCTTAATGATGATGGACAAATCCGGAGAGGCGCGCGACCATCTGGAGCCAACTTTTGTGAATTCGTTAAATGCTCTTGATCTGGAGACACGTGACTGGCAGCTAAAGTCCCTCGATGCTGCCCAGAACGTTGTCCGGTACAATTTGGCCGTTACTTTCGCCTTGCAGAACGATTTCCAGGCAGCCAAAAGTCTGCTGGGCACGCTGACCCACCCGATTGTAAGCAAAAAAGCGTTGACTCTGCATCGTTACATTGAGCTCAAGATAAGCGCCACTGCACTCCATTAGACAACAGATGATGTAAATAACGTAGACGGATTCAATAAGCAAATCAATGCGGAATGTAAATATCAAAACCACTAAAAGACCACTGTTAATATATCCTTAATGTCATTGAATTAAAGATTGTAAATTTATTTGCTGTGCAACAAAAGGAACTATCTGTATTTCATTTCGGTTGTTATTAGTTTTAGTTCCTGTATTCCATTTCGTTTTGCAGTCAGTCTTATCAATCCTTTTTCTTGCATTTATGAAAAATTGATTCAATACGCATATGAAAATATTTTAACATTTTTATATTATGACTGATGTAGGATAAGAAAATTAAAGTAAATATAAGTTCGACTCTAATCCTCTATGGTTTCGAAGGTGTGCATCTTTGCATATTTGGCAAAAAAGGGTTTTTCTAAATGTTGGTGATTTCTGTAATTGTATAAATATAATATAATAAAAAACCAAGTTAACTTGATATAGATTAGGCGATGCGAAGTACAGGCAGATACTACAGCCTTCACAGTTTAAAAACTGGTATAAGAGAAAGAAATTCAATTGTACAAAATTTGAATACTAATTTAAAATTTATTGGCAACTATTTCTATTCAAAATTCTAAACTCGATTTCGATAAGTTTCTAACTGCCCTTCGGAAGCAGTTTATTCTAGTTTTATTTCAAAGACTTGAAGTCGAAACTATAAATAATATATTTATTAATCAGTACGTATATCCGCAGGTAATATCTTACAAAGAATCAACCATGGATTCAATATATATTCTTAGTTAAGTATTTGGCACTGGTAGAAGTTGTGGCTGAAGGTCCCTGGCATATAATACTCTATGGCCACCATTCTGTTGGGAGAGTTAAGCGATATGATTTCAAGAGAAAATCTGAGAGCCTGTTTAGTATCATATCACTTGACTCTTGCAGCACAGAAAAACATTCATTTTGTGGGACTTTTTGATCAACGCCTGCGGCGCTGCTCATATCGATTCATGGAGAGCACAATGTTGTCGAAGATGTATTCGCGTACACCCAGACCGCAGATAAAGTCAAAGTGATTCCAGCGCTTCCAGGGTACCTTGTAGACGGCCTCGACGTTGGGCAGACGTGCGACCAGACGCCAGATATCCGCTGGTGCCACAATATAGTCGTTCTCCGCAAAGAAAATTGTGACCGGCGTCTTCACATTTTCCAGTACATACTCCGGTGGCTCCAGCTGCTGATAGTGCAGCCAGTTGAGTTCCGGGCCGTAGTCGTACTGTCGAAATTTGGTAGACACGTATCCCTGAAAATAGTGCATCAGCTGCTTCACGGAACCACCCGCCGGAAAGTTTGCCATCAGATCCGGAAGCAGCGTCTTGTTGAGGAAGCGCGTATCATAGCCTACCGCTGGCCAGAGCCGGGTGATGCACACCAAAGGCTTTTCATTGTCCAGACAGGTCATCGACAGAAACTTCTTAAAGAACTTGTTCGTTGAGAACATCTCAACGCCCTCGAGGATCTTGGAGATATAATTGCGCGTGCCCAAGATCGGTCCGATAATTTTCGCCAATCCACTTTGCGTATTGTCCACATAGGCAACCGGAGCCAGCAGCGTGGCCGTCTTGAAGACCGCATTGTACTGGGGCAGCATGGAGTTGAGCACCAGGAACACTGTACCGCCCTGCGAGATGCCCACGAAATGCATCTGCGATACGCCGCTAGTGCGCAGCACATGGTCAATCTGGGCGGGCATATCGTAGACGCTCATCTCGTGCCAGCTAAAGTTCCAGAACTCGCGATCTGTCGTGTTGAGCCACAGATTGTGGCGGCAATAGATGTTGCCGCGATTATTGCCCAGCCACACATCGTAGCCAGCGCGCCACAGTAAATAGGCCAGTGAGTCCTCCCGTCCGTTGAGCAGCCACCTGCAAATGGACAGCTGCAGATATCAGTTACCAGGTCAAGCGGAAGACCTGCCACGCATACGCACACATCCGACGAGGCATAGAGGCCGGAGAGCAAGAATACCACAGGGCGTCGCAGTACGGTGTAGAACGTTCCATTCGCATCCAGCTGGACTTGGGGTATGCGATGTAGGGTCAGCACATACCCATCCTTAGTTATTACCCTGTGCTGCTCCACATTGTAGCCATCGTGCTGTATGCGGCGCACCTGCAACGATCACAAAAACCGAGCAAATATTGGCAGGAAGTCACACTCAGGTATTTACTTGGCTAACACAAATGTTAACACACACACACACACACACACACACACACTCATACACACACACACGCGCAGTTGGCACATTTATTGCTTGACATTTGGAGGCCAAGCGACGCGTGCGTTGTGACATTCAAGTAATTAGGAATTCCAGTGGCGCGCGCATGTCACAGAGCTTGAAACGGTCTCTCCTCCCCAGGCAGAGCTGGTGCCACCACACCTACCGCATCTGTGATAATAATTTCGCGCGAATGTCTTATGGTGGCCAGCACCTGGCGCAGCAGCAGAGCCACCATGACGAAATCCAGGCCCAGACGCAGCAATCTCATGGCTGGCAGGATGGCGATTGCATGAAAGCTGGATTAAGTAATAATATTAACCGTTTAGTCCGAACCGGTTCGCTATCGATCGAAAATGAAAGCTGCCACGCGTTTCTTTGCCAGAGCCAAAAGGATCGAGCGCACACAATGAAAGAAGAAAGTGCCGCCGGAGCTTTCAAAAACAACGGCCGAGGCACAGAGACCAGCGCCAAGAAGCAGTCGCAATATGTTCGCATGAATGGATATGAATGAAAATTGCAATCAAAGTGCCGTCACCGTTGCCCTCTTCGTCGTCGTTGTCGTCGTTGCCTTCGTCGTCGTCGCGATCGTGGCCAGCGCTCGCTGCTAACGTTCGATTCGAATGTGTTTTATCGACTGTGCACGCGTTTGCGGCTTTGGGCCGCACCGAGCGACAATCGTCGAGTCGCAGGGCTTGTTACTCACGCCGCTCCAAGCTCCAATCGGCTGAGCCACTGAGCGCACTCAGCAAGCCAGCCAGCCAACCAGGCAGGCAGTTAGCCAGCCGGCCACCTGCATGTCGTGTGCCTTACCTGTGCGCCCAAGCTGAGGCGCATCCGGACGCCACTACCTTCAAGTGAGCGTCAGTTTTCTACACTGCGCTTAATACTTGTAGCCAATTGACCGCCTCTTCTCCTGAAACCTTGCCCCTCTCCCCCTCTCCTCCTTCTCACCTATGCTTCACCCAATGACTTGGCAAAATGCCATGGTAGTTTTTTAATTATAGCAGCCCACTACTGAAAGAGAGCCTATGGCCATAAATAAAAACTGTTAACGCTTCAATTACAGTGCTTAAAAAATAGGTGATCTACTGCAAGAACAGGTTTTATTTTGAGAATATTTTTATTTTTAAAATTTTGTATTTTTAAATGTTGACCATTTTAATACTTTAAATATTTAAATTTAAATTAAATTTTATGAATACTATGTACATGTATGTAGTATAATTTTTTTTAAATTCAATTATTTAATATTTATATAAAACTATTTATATTTATTTATTTTTATTTTATAAATATTTTTATAAATATTACACATCACATTTATTAAAGTATATTATATTATTATTAAAATTCGTTTCCTATAATTATATAAAATGAAAGTAAAAAAATTAAGTTCTTTCGCAATGTACTTTAAGTGAAATCCAAATCGATAAATCTCCATATAAATTTTATTGAATGGTTCAATTAAATAAAAATATGAATCGAAAGTAGCTCTATATTTTAAATATTTTTTCTTAATAATCAACAATATATTAATGCATAACTAATTCAAGGATTCATGCAGGTATTTCAATTACTTTTTGCATCTTAGGCAAATGTTTTAAATTCAGTTCTCATTTATTTTAATTTTCTTAATTTTATGAAATTTTATCAATTTAATTTTCATTTATTTTGAAACATTACAATAGTTTGCCAAGCCATCTCAACAATTTTCATAATAATTACTTTATTATTTGTTATTCAATATCATAATATTATTTAGCTGCTTTGAAAAGTCGACAAGGGAGTTTTGCTGTATGGGAAATTTTGATGAAAATCCCATTCAATTTACATATGTATGTATATGCCGTCTGTGTGTATGTCTTAGCACACACCTTGCATATTTTGTGCGCATGCAAGAAATTTTTGGCGCAGTGTATTAATTTTTTGGGAGCTACTTACATATTTGTTTTTGTTTTATTTTTATTTTATTTTTTTTTATCGTCTTGAGTTGGCGCGGCTTCCACCACGTTCCATTGTCGTCTCCACCACCGCCTCCGCCACCATCTCCGTCTACGTCTCCGTTATTTTCGCTGAATTGCAATAACCTGTTGCCTAATATAAGCACTGATCGCAGTGGCTGAGTTCCAGCTTCGCCGACTGCGGCGTGGCAGCGGCAGAGCGTCTGCTTATTTAGGATCTTTGCTCTGCCAGCACTCCAGCCCATGCCCAGATTTCTACGGCTACTCATACGCTTGACTGTGTCAGCCTCGAATGTGTGTGTGTATGTGTGAGTGTGTGTACTTAAATACTTGAAAACAATTGACTGACAGCACGTCCCACGTGCTCCGCCGTCGTCATCAACACTACACACACAGCAGTTGGCTGAAAAGCTTTCATTACGGATAGCTTGTTTGTCTATATGGCTTTTTAATAACGCGTCAACAAGTTGGCAAGGGGTTGTAAAATGTTGTGCATACACTCGTACACACTCTCTCGGGCACAAGTGTGGGCAAACCAACTCAATTTCGATTTCAGTTCCCGGTCAAATTCACCGACCGACCCACTGACCCACAGTTGACCCCCAAAGTGACTATCTAACTATCTCTCTGTCTGTCTGTCTGGTCTGGTCGTTTTGCTGTCTGTCTGTCTGGCTGGTCATACATTCACGTACGATAAATATGGTATGTATTTTACATTGCATTGGGCAAGCCCACGGCCCAGTGTCTGGTAATTTTTTGGTTTTTTGTCTTTTGGCGTTAAAACAGTTTACGCTAATTTAAATATTGTGACACATCCGTTGAGCTCGACGCGTGCTGCCAGCGTCCGAGTGGGTAAACAGTTGACAACAAGCTTTGACAATTAAACTAGCGAGTGCCGGTAATTAAAAGGGATTGAGGCCACGGGCATAGCTCGTCTCAGACTCCGTCAAGCGAGGCGCCGGCATTGACTCAAGCCCAACCAGTTATCACCTCGTTAGCTTTCTTTCGTTGCCGCCTAATGGATTCTATGTAATAGGCACTTGCACTCCCATACCTCACCCGATTGCCCAACATATTTGCCTTGCTCTTCCTCCCTATGATAGGCACATATTAACTCACACGTGTGATAATTATATAATGCAACCTGGCGTGTTCGGGCCACTTTCATACACTGCCTGACGAGGGCATTTTACAGCCGTATTAAAAATACATTTAAATTTTATTTTTAATGTGGGTATTTATTTTTTTATCAGATCATTGAATTGCATCTCTGACCGCTTTGTATGGATTAAAAGCCGATTGAACCATAACTTGACTAAGAGTTCACTTTATTGTGCTCATCATTTAAATTTAAAATTACAAAATTAGTGTGAAATAGCTGTGATCCATGTAATTTGAGATATATCTGGGGAATGTTCCCGATCTCTAAAACTCGCTACTTTAATAGATCATAGATCCCGGTAAGTGAAATATTTAAAAATTAAATTATTGCTTTATGGAAACGTAATTACGATATTTGAATTTCTCGATACGCGTATCCAGTGTGCATCCATCTTATTTATTTTGGTTTGTGCGTAAAGACAGGGTAATGAAAGACTTGGATATGCTTTCGCTTTTTAATTGATCTGGACTGCCGTTTTGTAAGCTTTGCTTTGAACTTGAAACTCGAAATTCGTAATTCGAAATTCGAAATGGTGTACATCTGCATAATGTACGCGCACACAGCCCGAAATATCGGCCTTAAATCAAAGGCTGATTCAACTTTTCCCTGGGACAATGAGTTGACATTTCACTTTTCACTGCGAGTGCTCTTGCTGTCTGATAAACTTCACCATTTCTCGGTTTTTTTTTTCAATATTTATTTTGGTCATTTTCAGCTGAAGACTATACGAATCGAGTCGGGCTGTACGCATTGCATTTCCGGCCAGGGTTAGCCCTTCTACTCGGTTATCGCATCAGCACCAGCCAAAGAGCTGCCTCTCTATATACATATATTTACATATGTAAGAGTAACTGCATTTGTATGCACATACATACATAATCCGATGCAGCTTATCAGCTGCAGCAGGGGCAACCGCGGCTGCCGGGTCATAAAACGAAAGTGATTGATGCCGCTTGGGAAAAGACCCGATCGAGGCCTTGGCTGCAGCAAATAATCCGCAAAATGGCTAAGCACAGCGCTAATCTGGCGCTAATTGTTTCTTAATGTGTTTATGAGTCCAAGTCAAGTAGAAAGAGCAGGTAGCTGATGACCATTGCCAAGAACCATTTAACTGTTGCCCATCCTGGCCGGCAACTCGGTTCGCTTCTCTAATTACAATTATATATAGCTTAAGGTATTTTCCGCATCGGTCTGAGTCATAAGACACGGCAATGCCACAGCTCGCTGACTGGCTGAGCAATTGCCGATCGTAAAATGCTGTGAGCACTGCGACAAGCAAAAAGTAAACAATAAAAAAAAAACAACAACAACTACTACTACAGCAGCAACAACAACAACGACAACTCGCGCCTGCCACCGCCGTCGCCATAGACAACAACAAAAGGAACACTGGAGGGTTTTGGAGGAAGTAGCCAACGGTCGACAGTCGTTTCCATCTCCGTCTCATCGTCATGACTAAGGAAAACCAATTGATTCCTTCCTGTTGCTTGGCTGCGCTACAACAAGCGATCTAAAAGAAAGAAAAAAAACGTACACGAAATCTAAATATTTAACGACTAAATTGAATCTGAAGGCGCGCTCACATTAGTCAAATTTTTCATGCCACGACCCGGGCTTACCTGCTGCCGCCATAATCAATAAAACATAAACAGTGGGCCGACAAGCTGTGTCGAGTCGAGTTAAGTCGAGGCAGAAGCAGAGATTCCCGACTGCGACTGCGACTGCGACTGCGAGTCCCCGAGTCCCCGAGATCCATTGAACTGGCCGCATCACGTAACGGCGAATGTTACAAGGAAAACCTACTCAAACAACAACATCAGCAACCAACACACACACACACAAAAACAAAAGAAAGAAAAACACATAGCTACAACAAATGTATGTAAATATATTTTTGAATACACTGGAATTAAAAAAATAATTTTCTACTACACTGGAGAGATGTTGCCTATTTATATGTGTATATGCTTACTCTATAATTAAATTATTAAAGTTATTGAAAAGTCTGAGCAGCAGCATTGTGTTTCGAGGCAAACTCTAATAAATGAGTTCTTTTCAAAGAATAATAATAAATAATAAATAATAAGATTTAATAATTTGAACATTCAGAACGAATATGTAAAATTATAGCAGTTAAATAAAATTTCTTAATAATTGATAATTGGAAGATTTATTTATTTTCTCTCAAAAATTTCGATCCATTTAATATTTTAAACATTCAATAATTCGTAATTTTTTAAGAGTCCCTCGAGTTTCGAAATAACGAGAGTAGACTATATATGTATTTTTATTATTATTAAATATGAATTTGGGTTATTACAAAATTGAAAATCAATTTATATACATATATGTTTACATTCTTATTAACTGTTTATTTCTTTAAGTGTATTTAGGTATATATGAATAGTTCCATACATTTCGTCGTCAACGTCATCGTGTTTGTCGTCAGTGTCGAAAGTTTATCGAGAAGTTTCAGTCTGGCCATTCTGTCCGACCAACCAGTCAGTCATTCAATCATTCAGTCAATCAATCAATCAGCCAGTCAACTTGCACTTAAAGACCCCCATGGAACACAGCTTGCAGGCGAGTTGAGCGCACTTGAATCACCGTTGGGTTGATTGACTTCATTGGGTCTGAACGAAGAGCTGGAATCAGATCATTGATAGAAGTTCGAGCTGAAATTATATGGGATGGAACGCGTTGAATGCAATCTATAGTTAATCTATTTATGTGTATGTCATTTAATATGAATTTAATTATGTTGCTTACACGTGCCAGATTTTGATCTCATGTAATTGGAAAATTTTCAAAAATGGATTTCAACATATACATATACATATATATCCCTACATACATATGTATTAAATTTTAACAAACCCATAATCGGACATCTGCTAGTTATGTGAAGTGCGGTTTATGCGATGTTTGTCATTTTGTGGTTGCAGTTGTCATGTTGCATGTTGCATGTTGCTAACCACTGAGCAATTTATCTTGCTTGATGATCCAAGTGGACTCATAACAAAACCATCTTGTGGTTATCTGCTGAATGAAAGTTAAGCAAATTGGGTATGCTCTCAAATTTTACAATTTCAAAATATTTAGAATTCCTTCAATGTGTTATATAATGCTATTGGAAATTATTATATATTCATAGCTTCTGAATTCATTATAGGCATAAGAATGACTATATTATTGCTAGAATAATCTTACATTCAAATTATTTATTTCACAACTTAAGAATATATATCTATTCATAATGTGGTTTAAGTCTGAATTGAATGGAAACCTATTTCAATGCCAAATAGGCAGACAAATAGTAGTTAGATTTGGTTTTATTGGGTCATTCATACGTTTATGTGGAGCACACTTTAATGCCTTTCACATTTAATGATATTATTAACATATTCTCCACAAGGGCACAAAAATAGCACTGTGCTAGATAATAATAAAAAAATTATTTTGAAAGTTTATGTAATGCCTGGTCAAAGAGCATTAAATAAAATGTAGTTAAGGCGAATAAATAGGTTCAATCAATTTGAATTAACAGATATCGCACAACGTCACATTACGATTTGAATACAGAAATATATATGTATGTACATACATATATGCATTTATATATTTGTATGTATGTATATGCTACTCGAACGTACATTGTAGCTGCTGCTGTTTACCGTTTACCGTTCCATTCCTGGTTCATTGCGTGCTACAGCTGATGCTCAATGCGGTGGCTGGCCCGAAGCTGTTTCTTCCATTGTTCCTGCTCTCCTTTGTATGGAGGGGTTTTTGTATTGTGTCCAATAAACAATACAAGTACTGCGAAGAGGCTGCGGCGAGAGACTGAAACTGCGGCACGACGACCCAAGTGTCCAGCACAAAGTGCGTAACAGCGAATTGGCTACCTACGAAGCTGAAGAGGCTTTCATGATGAAGAGGATGATGCTGGTGATGATGATGATGATGTAAAGTATATCAGCTTGGGCCCTGCAAATATGTTGGTACACATTGGCTTACCCCACGCAGAAGCTTGATCAGAGGGGTTCAACGAGTTCTATGGCGCTTACAGGCACTTATCAGACCAACACAAGCTAAATACACACATACACACATGTATACACACAGTAGGCCCACTCAGAAGCCGTATGCCTGCCTCTGCCCTATTATTATCCAAAAGCAAATAAATGCAAGGCAGCTTCGCCCAAATGGTCGCATGTTGATGGATCTGCCAGGCAGACAGACGGGTATAGGGGCCAACAGGCAGCCGGCTGACGGCAGCGACAGAGGCAGCGGCTGCAGCAGAAGCAGAGGCAGAGGCAATGGCAGTGGCAGAGCCATAGCCAGAGGCCGAGGCACAGACAGAGACAGAGACAGGGATAGTGATACAGAGACAGAGACAGCGACCTACACGACAACGTCAGCGTCATCAATAAACGACGGACTCTTGTGTGTGGTGTGTGGTGTGCATTGCCTGGCAGCAGCACAGAGCACAGGCAGAGGCAACAAAATTCCAGAGCGCACGCGTTCTCAACTTTAGTTCTTTGTGAGTGGCCAACGCGTTCGGTTCGCTGCATGGCCTGAGTCCAAGTCGAAGTCGAAGTCGAAGTTGAAATTAAAGTTGAAGAGAACGTGAAAGTGACAGCTGAATAAGAAGAAGTGGGAAAGAACAGACAGAATCTTTTTCTCCCTCTCGCGCTCACTGTCTGATATTAAACTACTATAGAAGTGTGCGTGTCGTCGATCGGTGTTTGGGCCAGTTTTATTCGGACGAACGCTGCAACAAGAAACGACAGAATAATCAATCACTCATTCAACATGGCCATTTCGAAGAGCCATCCACTGGACAGCTGCAAAGCCGTTCCTGGCAGATGCTACAACAGGAACAGGCCACATGCCCCCGCACATGCGTCGTCTCAGCTGCTGCCGCTGCTCTTTATGATGCTGGCTGCGATGCCTGCTCCGTGCTTGGCACTGACTTGTAAGTACTCGTATCAGATACGCCAACTGCATCAGCTGCGGCTGTGAACTGCGGCTGCAGCTCAGCTCTGCAGCTACTTCATCTTCATCGTCATTATGATGGTTGGCGTAATAAACTTGCTGTTGTAGTTGTTAGAGCTTGTTGTTGTTATCGCTGGAATCGCTATAGGCCTTTGACTTATTTAGCTGCAGTAGCAGCCGCAGCAGCCACATCATTGCCATTTTCCTTCTTTTGGCTTTTGTTGGTGGCATAATTCAAAAGAGTCGCGTTCGTGTAATTGTGCCACGGAAGAGGCGCCGCCAAAGCCACAACAAATCTCCAATAGCTTTCGGGTGTCATATAAATGGCCCCTCGCTAATCGCAACCCGATCCAATCCAATCCCAGCACCGTGCGAAAGTTCAATAATATTTAGTAACAGGGCAATTGAGACGAGTGCAGCGCTCTGGGTTCAAGTTGTGCGATAAAACTCAGATAAGCGGAGCCGTTCAGATAATTGAGTTTGATTAGCTTCACGGGAAGGAAGGGGTCAGCCAATATACTCTCAAAACTCATGCCATGACTGAAAACTAAATTCTTAGAAAGCACAAATTTAATGTTGAATATCATAATGATGATGTACATATAATATTTAGGTTTTCACATTTCACATTTAGATTGCTCGCCCCATCTAAAATAACAACACAATACAAAAGAAAGCAGACCCATTGTATATAGAAGCTTCTGGTAGCGAGCAGCTCGAACAATGGAACCAAACGCAATAAAATGATTTAGCTGCTAACCGCACTCTCAAAGGACAGATGTCTTTGAACTCATGTACAAGCAGCTCTTTCTATATATGTACATATAAATACGAATATGATTAGATTATGCATATTCCTCAGTGAAAAATTACTCTTAGAAATTGTACTTTCCTCATTATTATTACTCAGCATGATCTTCAGCTAAGGTCGGGCTATATTTCTGCTGGTATCCTTGTTAATCAGTCATCAGCCTATACACATATATATATGTATGTGTATATATGTACTTCTTTACTTGCATATTGCGGAAGTTAAGCGCAGTTACAGATATGCTTCTATATTGATATGCGGCTTGCAAAGCGAAATTTTTGCATCGCATTTCCGCTTGTATGCTTAAAAATTATCATTGATACAAAAACTAACGGCATTTCAACGGCCCTAAAAAAACCAGAAATGTTGATATAGTCAGCTTTTATAATTCCTCGCGTTATGAGTAAAAGTTTCCATACGATTTCCGGTTCCTTATTTTTTACGCTTGAGACTAAGATCTTAAGAAGCAGTCATTAACATTGTAGCTCAGTTCTTTGAATTTTTTATGTTAAGAATTAATAGCTTCTTTAATTCAAAAATATGTCAATCATTGAAATTTTCTAAAGAGTCTTATGTATTTAGAATGTGTAATTCACAGAATAGAGAAGTAGAAACTGAATAAATTTGAGTTCCAAAAGTTTCCATTGGATTTTTCGGCTTAAGAGACTTTAATAAAAATTAGAGCAAAGGCTTATATATTAAGCTCTTATATATTCAAAATTTAAAAACTCATGAAAATAGAATAGAATAGAATAAATAAAATCACGCATATAAAGAAAGCGAGCAGAAAATAAAACTTGTTGGGCAAATAATAATGGATAATGTCATCTGTAATTAAATGATTTATTCAAACTATTTAGGAGACAGGATATTTCTGTGTAATATTCGCTTTTACACATTGTAACAGTGAAACATATGTATGTACGAGTGTTTTCCCACCTATAAAACATGCCACACAACATGAGGCCATTTCAATGCGTCCACAAAGATAATTTTTAACACACATACACACAAATATATATATATGTATATATACATTTATAAAAGACTAGACTGGAAGAGGCAGATGACACTGCTCCGGTTCAGGCAACTGCAGCAGCCGCGGCAGTCGCTGCAGTCGCTGCAGCCGCATCAGCGGGCGGTGCAGCAGGCAAAGAAAACTGAGTCGAAAATCGATTTCTTTTATTTTGTGTAAATGCCATTTCATTTGGATGCTGTTGTGTCTTTGTTTTTGTTTGTGCCGCATGGCTTGTCCCATTTTAAGACATTTAGACACTTGGTCGCTGCCGTTGTTCGTTCTTGTTATTTTTGTTACGAGGCGTTCCCAAAGGGATTGGAGTGGATGTGTGTGGATGTGGCAGAGAAATGGTCATTGAGCCCAACGTAGATGCGTATCTCGTGCAGGGTAGTAGATAACTAATTTTCAATTTCCACGAATGCAGTTGCATTCATGTGAAGCATGTTTGTGAGCCTGTGTGTGTGTGTGTGTGTGTGCGTCGGGGAAGAACAATCGAATCATAAATAAAGCAGCTACTTTGGGCGACTGCCTGTTGGATGGGGCGGTCTGCCGAGTCTCGTTGGTTTGTTTATTGTGTTACTAATTTGGGATTCCTCGATTTTTTTTCTTGTTTGTCTGTGGTTGTTGTTGTCATATGTGTGTGTTTGGAATTTTAATCACTGCATCGCGGACAATTGGACGCATTTTGAATTATGAGGCGCGGGCGTTTTTCTGGACTTGAATTTGGGTTGCTCGTGACGTCGATATGGACATGGACATATGCATCTAGATAGGTACTGCACCGGAATGAGGAACGACAGCCGAACATTTTCTGAATGGAAATGTGTGAGAAAATGTGAGCTGCTGATGACGGCGATTATAGCTCTGTGGATGCATACAAATGCATATATGTACAATATATACATATATTTATATATGTATGTATATGTATTTGTCTGAATGGATTGGGTTGGGTTGTCGTGGCCATAAAATGATAATTGACGCGCGTATGTGATGGCAGTTATATTAGTTTACGATTTGGTTAAATGGCATGTTTATCAAGTTTGTAGCGTCTTAGCTATTAATGAAATGTCTATGAGAATGCATCTCGTGCATTTCTATTATTTATAATATTTTTGTTGTTGAATCTTGAATTGAGTGGAGCAGGGAGAAAGTTGAGCTGGTGAAATGCAGTTCTTAATGCTTTTCCATTATGAATTTATTATGATAACGTATTAATTATAACTATCAAGATCACACATGAAATATAAGCTAGTTTTATTTATTTATTTATTTTCTACTTTACTTTTAGCCGAGTCAACAACCCAGCTGGCTGTTGACATTGATGAAGTCACCACGGCAAACCCACCACTGCTGCCGACGAGCGTAGCCAATGTTGATCCCCATCCGACAGTTGTTGCTGCTGTCAACGAGACGAGTGTTCGGCTCGAGGCCGAAGAGGCTGCTGCCGCTGCCGCTGCTGCTGCGGCTGCTGCTGCTGCTGAAGTTGACGACGATGTTGAACATAACAGCTTTGTTGCGCTTGGTGGCGAAGGCCTGGAGCAGGGCATACGCAATGCGGTGAAGAGTGAGGTAGAGTCGGAAATCGAGGCAGACTCCTCTGTTCTCGTGGCAACCATACAGGTTAACAATGAAGAAACTGAGCCGAAAGCAACAAGCAACAACAATGAGCAAACAGGTGGGTTTACTTTTAAAAACAAAACATAAGCGAAAAAGTACTAAATGACTACTTTATTTCAGAAGCAGCTCAAGGTGTACGTGAGCCAAAAACTCTAGATGCTGAAGCTAACGAAGCCCCAGTGCAAGTTGAAGAGGCTAAGCAGATTGAAAATGTTGAGCAGCCCGCTAAGGAAGAGATAGCAGTTGAGGCTGAGCAAGTTAAGGAAGAGAAAACAGCAGAAACCGAAACGGCAGCGGAAAAGAAAGAGAATGAGCAACCACTAGCAGTAAATCAGCCTGAAGTAGCTGAGTCAACCACGCCAAAGGTCGCGATTGAGAGCGATTTGGTGGGATCTGAGAGCAGACCGTTGCCCAGTGTAACCAGCGATCTGGTGGCCGTAATTTTTGATGAGAACCGTGCAATTACGGAACAGCCCATAACAGAAACCAATCTGTTAGCCTTGGAAAAGGAACATGAAGTACTGCTTAAGGTGGTGACAACACCGCCACCCACATTTGAAGTGCCCAAGCATCAGGTGACCAAAAAACAAGGTGTTGACGATTTGCTGCCCATCGATATTTCAAAAGTAAATGTGGAAACACAGGAGGAGCCACAGGCAGCACCAGATGTAAAAGAAGAAATTCAAACACCGAAGCCTGAATTAGTTGAGAATACTAAAGATGAGCACAATGTGGATAATACTTCGGAGACACCAGTTCAATCAGCTCAATCAGTTCCTGCATCTCAACCCGTTCAATCAGTTGAGTCAATTCAATCAATTCAAGCAGTTCAGCCAGTGCAGCCAGTTCAATCAGTCAAATCGGCAGTTGAATCCGTTGAATTAAAAGAATCAGTGCAGTCAATTCCATCAGTTCAACCAGTTCAATCAGCTCAGTCAGTTCAACCCGTTCAATCAGTTCAAGCAGTTCAATCAGTTGAATCAAATCAATCAACTGAACCAGTTCAATCAGTTCAACCAGTGCAGTCAGTTGAATCTGCTCAGCATGAAGAACCAGTCCGAAATGACGTTGAAAGAGAAGGCAAAGAATTGAATGTACAACCTGCAGCACCAAGCACTGCTCAGCCGGTTCATGTGGTATCAACGGAGCCAGCAGTTCAAAAACCAGTTGAAGAATCAGTTCAAGAGTCATCTGAGGAATCGGAAGAATCAACTGAAGATTCTGTCGAGCCCACAGAAGCTAACAAAGAGCAATCGGCTGCCGCTGAAATAAAACCGGAGGTTGAGCAACCGTCCGTTGTAGCAGTTGAGTCCAGCTCTCCGAAATCCGTGCCACCAAGTGAGCCCAGCTCAACAGCCTCCCCAGTCGAAGCTAAAGCTGAAGCAAGTGATGATTCTGCCGAAGATGAGAGCAGAGAGGAGAGCGAAACAGAGAAAACTGAAACGGAAACGGAACGCATCGTTGTCGAGCCAGTTGAAAAAGACACATCCGAGGAGTCTGAAGAGCAGTCGGAAGAGGAGCCAAAGGCCAAGGCAGAAGATAGCACTGCAACGCCTCTTGTCTCGTATCCGCCACACAATGCGGGTCAAACATTTGATAGCAATTTGGCCGATGAGCGCAGCGCTCACCTCTCACTGGCATCCAGCAGCCGCTCCACCCTAATCATTGCCCTCTGCTCTGGTACCGCCGTCTTATTCATTGTCATCTCGTTGGTCATATTTGTGTTGTCTTTCCAACGTCAACATGGTACGCTGGACATTGAGATGCAGGAGCAGCGGTTGGGCAAGGATGATCTGGACCAGGAGGATGCACAGATGAAGCTACTCGATGTGGATCTATCGCCACCCGTAATCATTGCCATGGGCAACGAGGAGACCGATGAATGTCTTTAAGTCTTCAACACAGACTGCTTCTGGTGCATTGTATATATTTTCTACTTTTGAGATTGAGCTTTTTTTTATCAAATGGAGCAGCATCAAATACTCGACCCGTCTCCATATGCTGGGTCCAACGTTTGCCGACTAGAGCACGATGCAAATGCGTAAAAAATGACAAAACGAAAACAAATAAAAAGAAATAAATTGCCATATTGTTTAATTATAATTTGACACTATTCTATAAGTTTTTCTCTGTTCAAGACAATACAAAATTATTTATCTTTAGTAATTTGGTCTAGATTTAAGAACACTTTTATTGCGACTCTGATAAGAAGTCAGAATAAATATTTTCGATTTATGAAAACCCACAAATAAATATCTTTAAATTCACATTGCATAAGATAAAGTTAAAATCAATTAAAAAATAAATAAAAATTTAAAAATATTTTAAGAGCAGCCTGAAAGTATGCAATTCCTTTTTTCAGGAAAGAATACCAGAAGCTTGACAATTCGTTATTTTGAATTTTGGTTTTAAATTCCAGCAATGTGAATGTTCTTAACATTTCATTGACTTGTTTAATTGATTGAATTTCCAAAACTATGTACAAATTTATTTGTGATATATATATTTTATTTTTATATATATTTTATTTTACATATATAATATCATATATGATACAAAAATCGGAAATGAAATATATATAAATCTAATCACATATATACATAATATGCAATTTAATAAATTATAATTTATTGAAGTTGATATTTCTGTATATTATTACATATATATGTATATATATTTTTTTTAGAGAATTTGTCTCAAATAAACAATAAATTAGACGTTAAAAGAAAATTGTTTGCTTTGAATGCAGCCGATTATTCCATATTGGTGAACAGCTTTAATTAAAAACACAAAAAGCAAATCATCGCTCTGCCCCAATAAAAACTTACAGAGGTCAACCAGAAATGATTGAAAACTTTGCCGCTTTCAAAAACCCGCCAACGCACCAAAGCGACTAATTGCATTGGATTAAAAGCTTTGCCACATCGGCGCATCAAAGGCGTATTTTAATTGACTAACAAATGAGAGCACGATCTATTGAACGATGCCATAAAGAATCGAGAGAGTGAGAAAGCTCGAGGGCAACGACAATTGTTGCTCGATGCAGCATAATAAATATAAGGCACATGTGGAACATTTCCATGCGCCATCACTATTGACAGCAGCAAGAGAGGGAGCGAGAGAGAGAGAGAGAGAGAGTAGATTACAGGAGAGGAAAAAAGAACTTACGCTGCCTATTTGATTGAGTCTTCTGTGTTTTAGCGATATTGTTGTAGTTGTCTGATGAGCTTAATGGGCGAAATGAAGAGGCGCGCACATCACCATCGACATCGGCATCGTGACTGAAGGGAAATAAACAAATTCATTTTGAGATTAAGAGACTGCGGATGGCCAGTCTTTCTGTGTTGAATTTTTGTTTATGTGCTCTTATGCAATCGCCTGCACAGTGGTTGTTGAATTATTTAATTGCCAAAACGAAAAAAAACTTTAGATTTCTGTCCTATTGATCATTGTCAATTTAAAAGCAATAAAATGTCAATTGACAACATAATTTTCACAACTCTAATTCTAGCACTGGCAATTGCAAAATTGTTGAAAATAGTTGGAAGCCCAACACATACACGCTACGCCAATCCGGCTTCCCTGTCAGAGACGAAATGTAAACCACATATAAAAGTTATAAGCACATACAATAAAAATTGTCAAGATTATGTTACACAAACAAAAGCGAAGGCAGCGCATAAAGGAAATGCAACTACTGTGATGCAGCTAAGCAGAGACGCGTGTTTTTTTCACAATTTGCTTTTTAACCGGCGGCGTCGACGCCAGCGGCATTGTCATTTGCTTGTCTAATGCGCGTCTGCCGTTAGCCAAAGCTCTCGCTCACGCGCCTCTCGCTCGACTTGTTGTTGTTCTCGTTGTAGTTGTTGTTGGATTCTCTCTCCCACTGTTGCGTGCGTTCAAAATAAATTCTATTTGAAACGAATTAAATAGTGGTATGCATGAATGCATGAGCATGGGTGTGTGCGTATGTGTGAGTCGGTGTTAGTGTATGTGTAAGTAGTGTATGCGTTCGCTCGTATGAGCGTTTTTTCATCTTTCACATTTGAAAGCACAGAAAATAGCAAACATGAAACATGTTGTTCAGTTTGCTTGTTGCTCTGCACGCGTGCGGTTCGCCTTTGGCTTTTCGCTCGTACTCTGTCACTCTCTCTCCCTCTCTGTCTGCTCATTCTGCAAGCGAGTCGTGTGAACATATTCTGTAAAAACTACAAAGGTAGAATACCAGATATATTCTAAAATGCGGTTGCTATTTTAAACAGCTGTGCAACGTTGACATACGCGTCGTATACGTACTATTCCACATTATAATTCAGCATTACAAAGTGCACAGCGTGTAATTATTAATGTTTTACACACTATTTGTCACTCTTGCATCAAATTTGCCTGTTATACAAGGATTTTGTTGGATTGTGACTAAATTTAAATGGAAATTTAAGATCTATGAAACGGGTTGTTAATTCTGAATATAAAGTGAAACAGTTAAAATATTTAAAAAATAAAACCTGACAATTCTCACACAAAAACATTTTGAAAAGAAACAATGAATACATTAAAATGAGATCAGAAGTATATATAAACGTATTTAAAGGAAATTAAATTTATTTGATAAAATCTTTAATCTAAAATAAATATAAACTGTTTCCAGAAGTGATTATCCTAATCCAAATTCAAAACAATTGACAATTAGTCATTTAGTATTTTCAAAACATAGTTGAAACATTGGAAGATTATTTTGTTAACAATATATATATAGGACCTAAGCATTCATTAGATAATTAAATATTTAATTGAATTTTGGAACAGCTCATACTAGTATATGTATGATCTTTAGTGCTGATAAATGGAGTCATTCTAAAATGTTTGTCACAATCTAATGTTGTTGATAGGTTCTAAAATTCTATAATCCATGGCCTTGGTTCCGCACAATATCACAGTCTTTCCTTATTGTGTAGAAGCATATTTGCATTTTCAATATATACGCAGAATTAAAAAAGAATTTGTAAGATAAAATAAGTAAATATACTCGTATGTTTATGTTGTGCATATATATCCTATATATACATTATATTGTTTTTGGCACAATGTTTTCTTGGCTTTATGCGCGTGAGTCACCTGTGAGTGTGAGTGTGAGTGTGTTCTTGGTTGTTAGTCGCGGTCGCGGTCGCGGCATTGCAATGAAATTGAAATTGAAATTGAAACGAAATGCATTGGATCAACAGCTAAAAAACAAACAAAGCATAAAATAAACAGCATTGCAGCTTCTTTGATACAATGCCCCTGCACTACACAAACAGAGCGCGTCCATAAATTGTCTGCCTTGTTTTCTGTGTTGGCCTATTTGTAGTGCAGGTGTGCCGCTTTTCTTAGGATAGTGGATATGATTATCTCATTAAATGTGTAACGCAGCAAAGAAAGGGTATATTCATCTATGACAAGTTAAAATATCCAAATACGGATATGTCTATATCAATAAAAAGTTACCACAAATACTTTATTTCTTATAGAATTAACAGTGGAATATAGTTTTTCAAAGTATATATGTACAATTCCTACACTGCTTCGAATAAAGCATAATTTTACAAAGCAAGGTTATAAATACTGTTAACGAACCTTGTTATCGGAAAACTTCCTATAACTGCTATAGCCATATTCTGATTTTTGTCTTTGTTCATATGTAACGTTACCACAAATACTGCTCATATACCTAGAAGTAGTATCCGAATTACCTATATTCAAGAATGTCTCATAAGAAATTAAAGTTTATTACGAAATCAACTGCCATATTATAGTATATCTAGCTACAAAAGTATATAAATGCCTATAAGAAAGCGTATTCTATCTTCGGCTTACCAATGTCAGTTGTAATTTTTGTTATTGTTTGCGCTTTGCTTGTTATGTTTTATTTGTAGTTTATATTTTTTTTAACAACTAACCGCAATGAACTTCTAAGGGCAGGCAGTCAGCCAGTCCGCAGTTCCCAGTTGGCAGTTGGCAGTCAAAGTGTAATATGAGCGCATTTATCATGGCGATTGTTTATATTATTGTTAAGCTGGCAACTGTTTAGCATGCAGTCAAGGATATATGCACATATAAGAGTTACACAATTACACATATTTAAGATGATAGCTCGTGTTTCCCATCTTGGCTGGGCTGCCAAAGCCAAGCACATAATTGCCAAGCGGGGGTGTTGTGACAAAAACAAAAGTTGGCGCTTTCACATTTAAGTAGTTATGAAGTGTGCGCCCACAAGTTGTTTGCATTTGTTTTATTTATAATTAATAGCAATTTTCTCTATGGCATGTTGCCTTCAATGCAATTGCTGGAATTGCTGTTGGCTGTTGGCTGTGGGCAGCATTTGCTGTGAGTCGTGCCAATTCTGTAACAATGAAACAAGGGCAACCGCAATGAAAGCAACAATATCAATAATATATAGCAACGCCCAGAGACTCACTTCAAGATCATTTGAAATGCAAAACACGCCTGCTACTATCCGATTGATACAATCTTATCAAATTGTCAAATTATTGCAAAAAAATATAAATAAATAGAAAATAATTTAACTGTCGATATATCGAAATTGTGAAATGCATATCACGCAGCATTTGAATTGAGTTTGATGGGCATAAATAGTCATTAATCGCCATCAATCACGATCAATCAACTTGCTTGCCATCTCTGATTGGCGGGCAGATCGCCACGACAGATGACGAGCGTTGCGCTTCCCTTTGAGCTGCCTTCTATGGCACATGGAACTTGGCGCACGCCTATTTCAGTTCCAAATGAATGATTGGTTCGAAATATATACAATATATATATGTGTATGTACGTATGTATATACGCACACAGTCTGGGATTGTTTTGCATATGTAAACATAGAGCTTGGCTCATTTCCAGCATGAGTAGCAAGTTCTTTTTTATGCCCGCCTTTACGCTTGATCAATTAAGAGAAAACAATTAAAAGTTTCGTAAAAACTACCAAAATTAGATCTAAACAAAGCAAAAAACCAAAAGGAAACAAAACTGGTTGCCAAATTTTCGGTTTTCCAAAAATGAAAAATAAGACACACACACATACATACACA